ATCGACACGAGACTAAGTGTGTTAACCTAGGTTTGTTATCCTGTGGAAATATCACGTGTGGAAGCCTGGTTGCAACAAAAGCAATCCAGGCTGGCCTATTGCACCTAAATGGTTAATTGAAGCCACGCTTACCAGTTCTCGTTGCCACGACAACCGTCTACAGTGACTGTCAGTGACGCGAGACTATGTGTGGTAACCCAAGAGTACTTTTTGTTGTTATGGCCGTGGAAAGAAGTTCTTGTGATGAAGCCTGGTTGTAACAAAAGCAATCCAGGCTGGCAGTAAATGTATCACTTGAATAATTAAGGCTCTGTTAAGTCATACCCACAGTAGAGTAATCACATGTGTCCCCAAGTTGGAAATTCCCTGTTTTAGAAGAATAATTTTATTACAGCGTGAATGTGAGCAAATCATATATCCATGCAAATTGTAAATCATTGTATGGAAGCTTGACAAATAAATGTAGTGCAATTATCTGCCCGTACCTGTGATCCTATCTTATTATTACTAAAGGTAATGACTGATTGGTTATGACAAAGTATAACCAATAACTTAGATGGATGTTGAAAATTAAATGAATTCATTAAATCATCATTTATCAAGTATAAATCATGGAATGTCGAGTGGTGGAGTGAACTTCTACGTAGATACGCCATAATCTCCTGTAAGTAATGAGTGTGAAGGTATCGAACTCTACGGTAAGAAATAAGAAATACGACATATTATTATCTTTATATAATATAATCCACTCTTATACCACCGACTCACCCAAAACCATGACAGTAGCGTAGGACAGCGTGTGTACGTATTCCTCCGACATACGCTCCTTCTCTCTCAAGCCCGCCATATGCTCCTGCTCGCCTCAGTCTCACACGTGCTTGTGTGTGTTTTGTGTGATCTCGCAATGCCTAAGTGACCAGCTACTAAAATTCCCAGCAATGTTGCTAAGAGATCACGTGTGGCAGTTTCGTTGGACGTGAAATTGGATATCTTAAAAAAGACATGAACACGGAGAAGGAACGATCAGTGATTGGGCGCGTACACGGTTTGGCTCCCTCAACGGTGCACTCTACAGTTAAAAGGGCCGCAAGATCAAGGAGATGGCCGGCTCTGCAACACCATTGACGGCTACGAAGGTGACGAGGTTCTGCGATGCCGAAATGGAGAGTATGGAGCGGATGTTGAGCACGTGGATTGACGACCAGACCCAGCGTCTTAAAACACCTATATCGCAACGCATGATTCAACAGAAGGCGAGATCACTGTGGAAAGATATAACTAAAGATAAACCCAACGTACGTGAGTTCAGTGCCAGCTGTGGATGGTTTGATAGATTTTGGAAACGTATATCAATCCACAACCTAAAAGTACAAGGAGAATCAGCTAGCGCCGACCATGAACCAGCAGAGAAGCTCCCACCGTTTCTCGCAACCATAATTAAGGAGGATGGGTACAGTCCTAAGCAAGTTTTCAAATTGGACGAGACCGGACTATTCTGAAAGAAAATGCCTTCATGGACCTACATATCTACAGAGGAAAATACCGCACCGGGATTCAAAGTTGCCTAGGACCGCCTAACTCTATTGATTGGTGGAAATGCTGAGGGTGACCTGAAGTTAAAGCCTCTCCTTGTGTACCAGTCTGAAACACCCCATGTTCTGAGGGGGGTTGTGATGGGAAAACTTCCTGTCGTATAGTGTTCAAACCATAAGGCGTGGGTGACAGGGTCTGTGATGCACGACTACATGATCAACTATGTATCCGGTTTGCATTAGTCGCTATAATAAGGAATATTAGTGTGATGATAAAGCTCTGATGGTGATCGACGACGCACCAGGTCATCCACCAGCTATGGTTGACTGGCGTAAGAACATTTAAGTTGTGTTTTTGCCTCCCAACACCACAGCTTTGCGGCAACCCATGGACCAGGGCGTCATCTCTACATTCAAGGCGCTCTACACTCAGCGTATCATGGAGCAACTGATTGGGGGGACCGATGGAGAAGGGAAACCTACAATCTGGGAGTTTTGGAAAAATCACTACAACGTCAGGAAAGCCAAAAAAAAACATCAGCAATTCATGGGAGGCAATAACACAACAGAACATGAACAGTGTATGGCGTAAGCTGTGGCCCGAGTGTGTGCACAACTTTGTTAGTTTCCCTTCAGTGCCTGCAGTAAGGAAGACTATTTTGACTCTTGTAAAGAAGGCTGGATTCGATGAAGTGGATGACACTGACGTAGAAGACCTCCTCGACTCTCACAATGAAGAGCTTACCAATGAAGACCTGATAGAACTCCTCAATGTACAGAACCTAAGGAAGCTGATTTCTTCATTTGAGATGGCAATATGGCATTAGAAATGGACCCTAATGTTGATCGAAGTTGCACTATCATCCGCAATGTCAAGAAAGACATACGGGCATACTACGAGGTGCTTGAGGAGAAGAGGACGAATGCACAACAAATGACTCTTGATGCTTTTATCACAGCCAAGCCTTCAACCCCCAGTGCACCAACCATCCCACGTACATCCAAACAGAACACAACTTTTAGGCAGCTGTTCAAGACCAATGTAAAACCACAGCCTTCAACGAGTGAACCACAGCCTTCAACCAGTGGAGAACAGCCTTCAACAAGTGAACCACAGCCTTCAACGAGTGAACCACAGCCTTCAACGAGTGAACCACAGCCTTCAACGAGTGAACCACAGCCTTCAACGAGTGAACCACAGCCTTCAACTGCCCACAGCCTTCAAGTGAACCACAGCCTTCAACAGTGTGAAACCACAGCCTTCAACAAGTGAACCACAGCCTTCAACAAGTGAACCACAGCCTTCAACAAGTGAACCACAGCCTTCAACAAGTGAACCACAGCCTTCAACCAGCGGAGATCAACAGCTTTCAGTGCAAATTGACAGCGATAATGAGTAAGGTGGCTGACGACCCTGGCAGTGATAATGAGAGTGAGGTGGCTGACTATGCTGGCAGTAAGAAGGAGAGTGAGGTGGCTGACGAGTGAGACAACCCTGGCAGTGAGGAGAGTGAGTTAGCCGACTATGCTGGCAGTAAGAAGGAGAGTGAGGTGGCTGACGAGTGAGACAACCCTGGCAGTGAGGAGAGTGAGTTGGCCAACTATGCTGGCAGTAAGAAGGAGAGTGAGGTGGCTGACGACCCTGGCAGTGAAGGAGAGTGAGTTGGCCAACTATGCTGGCAGTAAGAAGGAGAGTGAGGTGGCTGACGACCCTGGCAGTAAGAAGGAGAGTGAGGTGGCTGACGACCCCAGCCTCATCTCACCCCAGTAAACCTTCACCCTGTCCCCTAATGCCAGCTTTAGCAAGCAAGCAATACAGCACATCCGCGGTAAATTAACAGTCAACGTTTAAAACTTACCTCACACACCTACACACACAAACATTCAAACACTCACACACTCAAACATGTAAAGTACTGTATACTGTACTTGTAAACATATACGCCTAATAACTCAAAATACGCCTAATAAACTCAAAGTGTTTGTTACTGATATTTATTTGATATTATGCCCTAGTTTCTTTATCTATTTTATGTTCTATATTTATTGAGTAAAACAAGTGTTAAAATCTGACGGCCGTGACCACCGTGATGCCCGTATCCCCCCTATTTACATTATTTCTTATGGGACAAATTGCTCCGCTATTCGCAATTTCGATATTCACAACAAGTTTCATGCCCGTAACCTTTGCGATAAGTGAGGCAGCCCTGTGCAGTTTGTACAGCTGGATATATTGCAAATCATTTATATAACTGAAAAGTAAAACTTGATAACATGCAGTCTGGGGGCGGTAAAATGCTCGGGGGAACAGCCACCGAACTTGACGGGAATTTTGCCCATCTTGACGCACAACAGTTAGCAGAAGTCAACTGTCAACAGATGTCATCGCTGTGGTAACCAGCAATTTGTTCTGCTTTCCTGGTCCCCATTTGCAACTCACTTTAAGGGATATACTGTATGTATATATGTATAGATATATATGTGTGTATATATAATATTATATGCAGTTTAACAACAGTGCCCATGTATACATCGTGATCAGATGATATAAAGGTTACCGTATCCTTCCTTCCCCAGTGCCCTCACAACATATAGACTTATCTTAATTGGATAGTGTTATTGCTGATCAATATATGGTAGGTCACTCAATGTCATGAGTAAATATGTAGCCTATCTATAAGTATAAATATAATTATTGGGATATGAGCCCATGAATGGCCCCTGGTCGTCCCATGGAAATACCCCCATTTTATAGCAATCCAATTGTCTGCTGTCTTTCTTTGGATATTCTTAACCCCTATAGTAATCTCGAGGATCAATGTACAGTACAGGTGCTCCTATACTTACAAACGAGTTACGTTCCTGAAGCTTGTTTGTAAGTCCAACTTTACTCTTGTAGATACCAAACATATTGTAACAAATTTAAAGATTATGGATATTTAGTACAGCCATACCCTTTAATACAGCCTTAAAACCTGGCTCACTCTTCTCCTCTTAGGTAATGTTTGTTCTATCTGGAATTTTTTTCTCAAAATAATCCAGTCTCATCCACATTAAACACCTGTTCAGGCAGGTAACCCCCCTCAGTGATGATGTTTGTATCTCTCAAAGTTTGTAAGTTGAATGTTCTTAAGTAGAGGAGCACCTGTATTAACTAATAGTAGACTGAAGAAGTGAAATAATATACTGTATTGAAAGTACAGTAAGTCTATATTTTGTTTTTAATTTAGCAGCGGTGACGTCATCAAACATCCACCATGGCTCAGGCAATCAATTAGGCACAGTGCAGCCCACGACTAATGAGCCAAACAAGAAAGATCATAATGAATGTCTCCAATTATTTCCGACATCAAGATCAACGAGAAAGTGAAATGGATGTAGAGCTAAGGACTGCCGTTACTACAGGGATCTCAGTCCGATCCCTTCACAGGATAAAACAACAACACAGATGTGTAATAACATCCCCACCTTCCAGGACCAGAAGTCACTTGTGATGGAAATGTTGGATGATTCTGATAAAAACTGTATTCGGTGAGAGATCCTTTTGTTCTATGAGAGGGGTGAAATCCAACAGTGGGCGCTCTGCTGAAAAAGGAGATGGAGCCACCTATGAGTTTCTCTGGTGCCAAGTCCTCACTTTACAAGCATGTGAAACAACTTGGGTTTTGTTATAAGAATGTAGAAAGTGGCAGGTGTATTTTAATGGAGAGAGATGATGTTGATGTTGTTGTGAGAAACAAATACCTGAGAATTATTAATAAAACCAGAAATTATAGCAGCCCAAAGCCAGAAATATATTTATATGAGACTTTGGTAAATCAAGACGAGTGTATGACCAAGTGTTGGACAGTGGCTGATGGATGTGTAGGCCCAAAACTGAAAACAGGGAAAGGAGCCAGATACATTATTGTGCATGCTGGTGATGGATTTGTACCTGGGGCTCTGTTAATTTTTAGATAAAAAAATAGTAATAGGGGGATTATCATGACAGCATGAATCATATATGTTTCCAATCCTGGGTCCAAAAACGGTATACTTCCAAACATTCCAGTTCATTCTTTCATAGTAATGGATAATACACCATATCATTCAAAAATTTCAAATAAAGCACCAGCCAGCAATATCCAAGAAATGTGAAATTATGCAGTGGCTAACAGAATACAACATTGATCATGAACCATCCCACACAAAATCTGTACTTCTTTTTCATGTTAAAGCACACAAAATCGAGCAAGAATATGAAATTGACCAAATAGCCCATGCTGCTGACCATGAAGTGCTTAGACTTCCCCCTAATCATTGCCATGAAACCCCTCACAATTGATCTGGGCCCAAGTAAAGACTGAAGTGAAAAAGAACAATTCAAATGCCAACCAGACATTGAAGAAGGTTGAAAAAATAACTAAAAGTGCAACAGACAAGAGTAACTGCAGAAGACTGGAAAAAAATGTATACGTGGCAAAATACTGGTAGAAGTTTTGTTATAAGCAGCGATGATGGCAGTAGTGATCTGGACAGTGATGAATGAATTAATGACAGTTTATGTAAATAATATACTGTACTTGATAATTAATTTCCTCAAATTTCTTAGCTATAGTACAGTACAGTACAGTACAGTACTAGTAAGCTACACTTTAAAACACATGGTAAGAAAGGGTGTTGAATTTGCATTTGCAAATTAAATACTTTATCCACTATCTTGGCATCTCATCATAAATGCTGCATTGCGACAAGATTTAAATAATAATATATACAACGAATTATAGGTTAACATTTTCATCCTCTTTCATTAAGTACAGGTAAAAGAAATTTAGTGCAAATGAACAAAAATCTCAGCCAATGATGAAAGGCTGTACAGGGGGGGCATCCAAGTTCGCTGATTTTTATTTCGCGGTCCTCTATCATTCGCGAATGACACCTTGGATGTGCCCAAGAATATCTGTGGGTAGTTTTAATCTGGAATGACGCCACTAGTTTAGAAATAATTTCTTTTCTAAATAATCAGAAACAAAATTATTAAATTAGCAACCGCTCAAGTCTGTGCTCTATGAAGAACAGACTTGAGAACTGCATTTATATTTATTTGTTTCTGATTAATATTAATATTCAATTACTTTGTATGTGTTTTGTGTGTCCCCAACGTCAGCTAGAGAGGTACAAAAAAGGGCCTGCAGAATCATGCATGCTCCAGAATACTCACTACACCAACGCTCTCACACCCTGGAAATGCCATCCCTCAGTGACCTCACCACCAAGCACTGAAGGTTTGGCCGTGGACTACTGCACCACCCTACGGCCACGCCACCTCCTGCCTGCAGCCCCCCACCCAACTTCGTAGTCGCCACTACAACAAAATTCAGCCCATAGCCCACATACCGATCAATATAAGAACAGCACCATCCCATCTATTGTTAAAATAATAAACAACTCTGATTTATGTACTGCACAGCCCTGTAAATGTATTCAATGCATATTATATCATTATGTCTAAACTAATGTAAGTCTGTATATTTTCAGCCACCGGACTCAACTCTATTAATAAACCGTTTTTAGCATACATACGCATCGCATACAACGCACCAGCCTCGCATGCACTTGCACACACACTTGCCCGCAACTTCCTTGCGCACGCACACGCCACACACACACACACACACACACACACACACACACACACACACACACACACACACACACACACACACACACACACACACACACACACACACACACACACACACACACACACACACACACACACACACACACACACACACACACACACACACACACACACACACACACACACACACACACACACACACACACACACACACACACACACACACACACACACACACACACACACACACACACACACACACACACACACACACACACACACACACACACACACACACACACACACACACACACACACACAAACCTTCGACTCGACTCCGACTCCTCAGAATTTTTATGCTTCGACTCGACTCCTTGGCCTGTCTTGTAGCTATTTCTACCATCTAATTGTAATTTGTGTTGTAACCTGCATAGGTAAAGAAGTAAAAACACCTTGGCTATACTGCTACAGCTTTATTAATGATCTGGGCGGTATTTGAGAACTACAAAAAGATGATAGGCTTGACTTTCAAAGTTTCAATCAAGAAAATAAATTTATTAAAATTCAAGATATTAACCTAAAGAAAACGCAAATTTACATGTATATATCTAAAAGTTAGAATCTCATATATGAATTTTGTTTTAACTCATAATCTGATGTGGATCTAAATGATGATCTAATTCCTTTTAAAGTAAGTTATATATTTATGTACATTAAAGAAATGAATACCTTATTAAGGAAAATGGATAAACCTTACATGATTAAGTTATTAAATTAAATTTGCCTTAATCTCACAAAAACTCAGGTTGTAGCCTAATTGTTGTGTAGCTGAGCCTCTGTGCAGTTTTTCAACGAAACAAAATTTTATATAATTCAAATGTCAAATGGTAAGAAAGACTATGGAGTCTAAAATTATAATTAACTATACTGTGCCTGCTACAATAAATTCATAATAATGCTTATAAAATGGAAATAAATTCTTTAATAATTTAAGAAAATTAATTGGGATCAGTGGAATCACTGCAATGAATATGCCGAGTTCATATATTTGTTCTTAGGAACAGAATAGCTTCAGTCGAATTAGGAGTCTGAACAATTTACCCGACTCCGGCTCACAAGCCAGAAATTCCTCCAGATCCTCGACTCCGACTCCA